CAGCATGAGCTGGAACACGCCCAGACACTCCTGAACACAACAACGCAAACCAGCATGAGCTGGAACACACCGACACCCCTGAACACATCACCACACACCAGCATAAGCTGGAACACGCCGAGACACTCCTGAACACATCACTACACACCAGCATGAGCTGGAACACGCCTAGACACTCCTGAACACAACAACACACATCAGCATGAGCTGGAACATGCTAAACACACACCTGAACACGTTACTAGCGTGTGTATTAAGCCTTCTGTCCCTGTCTGTGTATTTAGCTCCCTCTCTCTTCCTCACAGCTCCCTGAAGAAGTCTGGAGATCTGTGGCTGGATGCCTACCTCCACAAATAGGCTGCTGCCCCTGTCTGTCCGTCCTGCCCGAAGTGACCTATCACCCAGCCAATCAACTCATCTGCCACTGCGGTCATTTCATTGATCTGCACCCCTGATACTGCTGTCTTCACATTTGTCAATCTGCATTTCTTTGTCCTCTTCTCTGGTTGTTGCTGAACCCAGAGAGGGAGAACAAGAAAGTCTAACCGCTAAGACGAGAGAATGAAGAAAATCAGAGAGAGAGACAGGAGAGAGAGACAGGGAGACAGAAGGAGGGAGGGAGAGAGACAGTGAGAGAAAGACAGCAGGAGAGAGTGACAAATGGATGAAACTCAGAGTGTTTAATAGAGAAGCCACCCAGATTGATGGAGAGAAGAAGAGAGAAGGAAAGGGCAAAAAAATGTCGCCAGATCCCCATTACAGAGAACATCAGCTGTTGAAGACAGTGATTAGCCCAGCAGGTCACACTCCAGTTTGCTCGGGCAGTGAAATTGGCCAGTTTCTCCTTTCTCTGTTCCGCTGTTTTCAGCCTCTGATCCAGATGACTAGTTGAGTCCTCTGTACTTCCTGTCACATGTACCAGGAGATGGACTGTGATTGGCCAGTCCGTGTCCTCAACGGGAACCAGGAAACAATTCTGCCTTTTTGGGCCTAGGGACCATGTAGGAGTACTTGAATGTATTAATACTAGAACTAATTTAATTAATTTAACAATAAGCAAGTGTGTGTTTGTGTTTTTATATATCTTCTTTAATCCTCTCTGATCTCAGAGACACTGCAGGCCTGAGCAGCTCTGGAAGGGACAAACACTTTGTGTCAAGATGTCCATCTGCACTCTGGCCTCTGTCCAGGGGTCACAGTTCCACCAGCCCACTCATCCGTGGGTAGTGAGAGCAGTGCAGAGAGGGAGCGCTGACCAGGGGCTGGATAGGG